TGTCCTTTGTATATTGACCATATATAGCTCGTCTTAGGTGTTATTTTTTCCAGTTTGTTTTTGCCTTTAATGTGGCTTATAGTTGTTTTGGACAACTGTAAATGTTTATGACAACATTTATAAAACTATAAAAAAAGTCTTCACTTTTTACAAACTTTTATGGTGTCTGCCTTTGGTGTCATGCTTGCAAATCCCTTCACACCTTTATAATATAGAAATCGTGGCTTCATTTCTTCACACTTAAATCTTTAACCCATTTATAATTCAGTTTGCACATGATGTGAGGAAGAGCTCTTTGTTTCCAAATGGCTAGCTTTTCAGGCATTGTAATCATTCATTTACGGGAAAGTGTCCCCAGCCTGAACTCTAGGAGAACAGGGATTTTGCAGTATTTGCCTCTGTCCCAAGCCCCCATGTGGTTAGTGGTACATATGGAGTGAACAGATCCAGTGCGTGTGTATCTCAAGCATTCAAGTAGGCCTCCATGGACCAGAATATTCCTGCCTGTATAGTCTCTGTATTGTCAGCAGCATGTCGGCAAGCATTTTGCAAGAAGGTTGACTCTACATTAAAATTGCTGAGTTGTTTAAAGTTCAACCCAGTCCTGTGCCTCTAGGTTGGTTAATAAGTGATCTTTTAGTGGACTCCCCCAACCCGATCAAATCACATAATCTATTTTATTTTCTTCATAGCATCTGTTCCATATGTAGCTATGATTTATCCTCTAGCTGGCTCCACGAGGGCAAATCCTGTTTGACTTATCAATCCCTACCTCCTAAACCGGTGTTTTTCTCACAATAAGGACCTAATATATCTGTTGAATAAGTGAAAGAGTGAATGAATTGAGCACAAATTGATGAGGACACGTGGACAGCTATGCCAGAGTTGACCCGTCCTAAATCCCAACCCCACTCCTTCAGGTGAGTGGTTAAAAGTGCAACAATATTGATAAAGTCCATAGTTGACTCAGATTTCCTTAATTTTTACCTAATGTACATTTTCTGTGCTTAAATACCAGGACACCACATTACATTCAGTCATCATGTCTCCTTAAGGCAACTCTTGGCTGTGAGTTTCTCAGACTTTCCTGGTTTTTGATGACCTTGATAGCTTTGAGGAGCCCTGGTGTTTTGTAGAATGTCCCTCAACTGGGATTTATCTGAGGTTTTCTTTCTCATGATCAGACTGGGGTTCTGGGGAGGAAGACTCCCAGTGCCACCCTCATCAGATCTCATCAAGGGCATATAGCATCAACATGACCTTATTCACTGATGTTAACCTTGATCATCTGGTTATGGTCGTGTTTTTCAAGTTTCTCCACTGTAAACCTCTCTATCTTGTTCCCTCTGAAAAAGAAGTCACTATGCACAGCCTGCCCTTAAGCAGTAGGGGGTTATACTGTCCTTGAGGGCAGAATAACTATAGAAATTGTTTGGAATTCTTCTGCAGAACGGTCTCTTCTTCGGATTTATTTAGTTAACCACTTATCAGCATGAACTCATGGATATTATACTTTGAGTTGTAACCCAGTACAGGTAACCCCAGTTTTGAAAGTTTACATTAATTACACTGCTTCACTTTTACAAAAGACCTACATCAGTACCTGTTTTTGTTAGTTGAAAGAAATCCTAAGAGGATTTTCACTTTTATGGAAAAAGGGGAGAAGTAAAAATAGCATCAGGGGTTCGTTTTGCTGCGAGCCCTGGTAGAGGCAGTGAGTACCCCAAGGAGTGAGAGTGATGCCACCAAGTTCCTTCCCCAATATCTCCACACATCTCAGCATCAACCTTCCATAGCTTGGAACTGTGTCTGTGAGCACCTGTGCTTTGCCTTGATTGACTGTGTTTGCAAGATGTATCCTAAGATAGGGGCACCTGGGTGGCTCAGTCGGTTAAGTGTCCGACTCTTGATTTCAGCTCAGGTCAATCAAGACCCGCATCTGGACCGCATCAGGCTCTGCGCTGGGTGTGAAGCCTGCTTGAGATTCTCTCCCCCCTCTGCCTCCGCCCCTCCCCCTACGTACTCTGTCTCTCTCTCTCTCTCTCTGAAAAAAAAAAAAAAAATGTATCCTAAGGTAAGAAAAGGTTAAGAGCAGTTAATTTTTTAGGTCTGGAAACACTAAAAAAATGTTTCCATATAAATTAATGGTAATTGCTTCTTCACTTTATTGCATTTCAGTTAATGAGAGATTTCATAGAAACACTCTACTTTTTTAAGTTATTTATTTTGAGAGAGTGCAAGAGAGTAGGGGAGAGGCAGAGAGAGAAACCCAAGCAGGCTCCGCCTGTCAGCACAGTGAGCCGGAACTCACAAACCATGAGATCATGGCCTGAGCTGAAGTCAGCCACTGAACTGATTGAGCCACCCAGGTGCCCCCACTCTACTTTGTGATAGCAGGGAAACCTGTACTACTTGATTTTGTTGCTCAAATTCTTCCCATTTTGGCCACTGGGAGAGCTTTCAGCTGGCTCCCATGTCCCTGCGACAGTCCTCTATTATTGCAGAGGTTTTTCCCACGGTTGTTTGGTTTTGAGCATTCCTAGCACTAGGAGACTCATGGCTTAGCTTGTGTATTTCCTCCCCCAGTCCTCAAAGCAGCCATTTCTCCAAGGACCCCTGGTTCCATTTCACTGGAGAATGGTATTAGGAGCCAAGATCTGGATGCCAGGTGACCTGTGCCTTTTAATGTTTAATATGTGACCACTAGAAAGCTTAAATCTACACATGTGGCTCTTCTATTTCTGTAGGCCAACACTGTTTTAAGTCTCCTCTATCCTAAAAAAAGCCTTCCCTTCATCCCACCTTCTCTCAAATTCGTGACCCAGGTCTCTTCTTCCCTTCCCCATCAAGCTGCTTAAAACAAGAATCAGCAGTCATTGCCTTTACTTCTTCCTCACGTGCTGTTTAATTCCCTGCAGTCTGGCTTCCACCCTAGTCCACTGAGATGGCTTCCTCCAAGGTCACCAAGAATCTCCTAATATTCCTCAGGCCTTTCCTGCTGAGGCTGGGGTTTCACGGCACTGTTGGCACACCTTCTTTGCTGGAAAGCTTTGGCTTCTGGGACCTTTGCTGCTGGTACACACACCCCCACCCCCAGTTCTCTGACCATTTCTACGTTTCCTTGGCAACCTTGTCTAAGCAGCTCCTCTAAGTTCTGGTGTTCCATCCTCTGACCTCCTTTCTGCCAGTCTAGTATTTCCTCCTGGGGCAGACTCCCTCCCTTCCACACCGTCATTGCTACGGAACAAAGTTAATACGCACTAAAGTAGCATCAATGGCCCTCCCTGGTCTGGCCTCCACCCCCTCTCCAGGTGCAGCTCCAGCCGCAGCACCCCTCGGTGGACTAGACCCCCAAAAGCTCTTCCCCTCTGCCTGTATTCCACTTTTTTTCAGCTAAAATGCCAACTCCGCATAAAGAATTCACTGCTCTTTCCTCTGCCTTCTCCATATTGGGTGGATCTTTCGGGTGCAAGCAGAAACACGAACTCTGGCCGGCCAAACAAAAGAAGGGATTTACTAAGTGAGCGCAGAGGTGTCTATTGGCACCTGGGGCTGGGGGGGGGGGGGGGGGAGCCGAAAGGTGAACGCACAACCGGTAGTTCAGATGAGCTTAGAGAAGGGAGTATTTATAAAAGAATGGTCAGAGTTAAGGGAAGTCATAAGAGATGGTGCAGACTCAGGGCTAGTGACAGAACTGCTCGCCGCCCGGCCTGAAGGAACAAAGGAGAGCAACAGAGCAAGGGACCCCCTGTTAGTGATCTCTGGATGAGGAAAGCTGCCAACCCACAGCCAGGCAGGCAGGAAACCAAAAAAATAAGTACTTGAACTCCTTCTCCTGCCCTTGGACCTCCTACCAGTCCCTCCCATCTGCTGACTCCAACAGGAAGCTAGAGGGTTTTGTGTTCCACCGGGGCCAGCCTCCCAGGACACAGAACAGGGGGGAGAGGTGGAGGGGAGTGGATGCAGAGGGTGACAATCTTCAGCCCAATCATGGAACTGAAGGAAGAGCTTCATAACCAAAAACCAGGTCTGCAAGGTGTCAAACAAGCAGGAGCCAGGGCCAAGGCCTCACAGATTCAGCCGGTAAAGATACAACAAGCACCTTTTGGTTCAGACAGCCGATTACTTACATGGGCAGAAGGAAGATCGGCCGAAGGTGCCTCACGGTCCTTGTTGCACACAACGGAAGGATGGCTGCAGTGAGGGCTGGGGGATCTCCTGTTGCTGAGAAGCCAGTTCTAGATGCAGCCAGGCTGTTTTACCGTCTACAGCTCTATTCGGAAGGAGGTGGGGCCGGAAGTCTCAGACCTATCAGAGCCTGGGAGGTGATGGTTCCTGACTCTCCTATGGGATAAGGTCAGTGAAGATGGCCTTGGGTCGGTGCCTCACAAGCCTCCCATCCTCTCTGGTTCCTGGAGGATCTCCCAGACAGCCTGCAGGTCAAGCCTTCGCCTGTGTGGCCAAGGTAAGTGCCAGGGGACCAGGACACAGCTGTTCCCCACAGAGGTCTCTCAGGCAGCTCCACAGACCTCAGCGGCACAAGGCTGGGGAGCTTCTCTCTAAAGCACCAGGTCTCAGATGCCTCGGCCGCAGCCACTCTCTCTTCCAATTTTCAAATTCTTGGCAGAGAATTCAGCTGTCCCAGCCTCGGTCTGGAATGGACACCATCAGCTGTGGCCAGGGGCAGACTCACCACGGACAGAGAGAGGGAGGCTCTGAGCCACTCCTGTGTGCCCAGCAGCTTTCAGAGATAGGCCACACCCATCTAGACCCTACTTGCTTCTGCTCTGAAGCAGTGTTATTTCCATCCCAACAAACGGTGAGGGAAGTCGAGAGAGAGGCCTTTGAAGACAGCGAAGACAGAGTGATTGGCGCGACTCTAACCACAGCCCAGCCTGCACGGCGCAGAGGCAAGATCTGACCTGACTGGAAGCTGGAGCAGTTTTAAAGACCTGAGTGTAAAGCGGCGTATGTACAGTTGTTAACATTTGCAAATCATCTAAAGAGAAAGACGCTATCAAATTTATTATCCTTAAGTTCACAATGACATGGAGAAATCATGTGCGGGAATGTTTCCAGCTTCAGTTAAAAGAGGAAGCAGAAAGTGTGCTTAGGAGGGACCAAGGGAAGCCTATCTTAACCCGTGGACACCCAGGCCTGGTTCTGCTGGTTTACGAGGAGGTGAATAACCCGGCAAAAGGTGAATCAATAGGCCCCTGGCTGTAGGGGAAGGGATTATGGTCCTTTTCTTCCTATCATTAAACGTTTCTAGGAACACACAGGCGTGAAGACCTTCCCACACGGTAAAGAACATCATCTCTGCACACTGGACCCAGCAGAGCCCCAGCTGGGAAGAGCCCGCGGGCAGGCAGACCGACCGGCAGCCCTACAGCTTGGTGGGCTGCGTGGGGGTGAGATGGGCAGGCCCGCTGGGCGGGGGCAGCACCAGGGGCAGCGCGTTGCCGCCCTTCTCGTGCCAGCATGTGTCCAGGATGGGGTAGAGCTTGCCCTGGAAGTCAGCCTGGAACGTGTAGAGCGGCCGCAGGTCATCGGGCCGGTCAGCATCAAAGAAGGTGAGCTCGCCACGCTCGTAGTGCAAGTAGACGCCGATGCGGTGGGGGTGGCCGGCCACAGGCAGGGGCACCCGAGGGCAGCCGAAGGCCTCGTACACCCGGCCCTCCTTCAGGCCAATGAGCCACACGCCATTCTCCGGGGACTTGCTCAGCCTGCCCTTGCGACTGGCCGTGCCCTTGATGACCCCCAGGCGCCAGTCGCTCTTGCTGCCCACCACCACCTCCCAGTAGTGACGGCCGCAGGAGAAGCCCCGGCTGGCCAGGACGCAAGTACTGTAGTCAAAGCGCTCTGGCTGGCTGGCTCGCCGCTGGGCCAGGAGCCCACACTGCACCACCGTGTTGCCCTTGGAGAGTTCCAGGAGTGGGTGGGCGGTGGCGGGGTCCAGCTTGAGGGACTCCGGGGCTAGGAAAGATCAAAGAAGTGTGTTTTCCAGCTACACAGAAGGCAGCAGACCCTACCCCAGAGGGAGGCCCTGAGCTCCTCAGGAGAAGAACTGCAAAGGCCTCATCCCAGAATCGGAGGGGCCTTCTGAGAAGGGGCACAGAAGAGGCAACCCTGAGGACTGCTGAATGAACAAACAATGCCTGAACCGTGGGAAAAATGGGGCAGCTGTGAGGGAGGCATTCTGGTTAAGGGAAAGGGCACGCACCTGCCTGCCTAAGATGGCGGTGCAGATGGAAGGTCCTGGAAGACGGCCCGTCACTTGTGCACCACAGCTAAACTCCCCAGGAGAATCCTTATCAAGTGCAATTGTTCTGATATCCTACCAGCCTATTCAAGGACAAACTGTTCCCAACTGACCTCTGGATTACCTGCCAACTAATCAATTTGCACCAAAACCACACAAACAACATTCACGGACCAGAGATCATCAGGTTTTTTCCTCCCCTCCCCTTTTTATTTTACAATAAACCCTATTTTTGTCTTTGTTAGTTGAAATCAGCTTATCGATTGATCTCCCTTATGTGCTAGTAACAAAGGAATTCGTTAAATGTCTTCGTGTTATTTTTTGACAGAGCGATAGCTACCATTTATTAAACACGAAACTATGCACACACATTTGAGTGTTTATAAACTACACAGCCCAGCAAGGTGGACTTTAATACCCCCTCCTTGCAGATGAGGAAGCAGACTCAGATTACAGGTTGGATCTTCAGCTAGTAAGGGACAGAGCTGTCTGGTGGAGCCCCAAAGCCATGCTCTCAACACTAACCTATGCAAACACCCTTCCAGTCTTCTGCACCCTACACTCTGGCACAAGTGACAAACTGCTACCCACCCTGCATGGCAGCCCTCAGGGAAGAGAACGGGTTGGAGCCTTACCCGGCAGAACTTTTCGGAAGAGCCTTTTCCACACAGTCAGCTTGATGTCAGCCTGGTGGAGGCCCGGCTTGAAGGACATGGGGCTGAAGGCGCCTTCCAGAGGCCGGGCCTGCTGGAGCTCTGCTCTGAGGGCGACAGACTTACGTGATGGCGGGGATGCACACCGCGCACCCCAGCCCTTCACCCATGGGCAAGTCCAACCAGCCAGTCACGGCTCAGGACACTGTGCACTCAAGAGGCCCATCATTTCCTCCCCTCCACCCCACTCTCAGAGGCCCCGCCCCTTCCTGGAAGGAGAAACACTACATCAGTGGTTCTCAAAGGGCATCACCTGGAGGCTTGTCAGAAATGCAAATTTCTCGGGGCCACCCCAGACCTGCTGAAAGCGATTACTAGGGCTCAGTGATGTTTTAAGGAGCCCTCCAGGTGGCTCTGATGCACACTAACATTTGAGGATCGCTTCTCGATATTGGGCGACCCTGGCCCCTGGCCACAGCTGGAGCGGACACCTGCTCCCAATCAGCTACACTGTCCATTCTTTTAAACCAATGCTCCTAACCTGACTATCCCTAAGACCAAAGGAAATTTAAAACGGACAAGGAGATTCCCACAATCAGGATCTGAGGAAGGCTAAGAACTGCATGGCTATTCATTTGTTGGGGCTGGAACATGGATCCAATCCCTTCCCACAACCCATGGTGCAGGATTCGAGGCCCCTCATCCTGGCTCTTGCCCACCTCTCCCACTCCTCGCCCATTCTGCCCTGTAGCCTACATTTTACCTCATTCGTACTGAGTTCACATTTCTCCCAAGTCTGCACACTTGAGCCTTTCAGATGACCCTTCCCCACTCTGCTTACCTGGCCAACACCTGTCCTCTGCCCTAAGCTCACCCCCTGCCATCTTCACCCGTGCCGCGCCCCCCCCCCCGCCGCGCCCCCAACCTCAGTCACCTCCTCCTGTTATTTCTGTAGCCCGTGTGAACTTCTCTGGTCTTAAGTACCCACAGTGATCAGTGATGTAACCAGAGTTCACCATCCGCCTCCCACCAGTCTTTGAGACCCTTAAAGGCAGGGGCATGACCTTCATCTCCCTGTTCCCTGGGCTCAGTACAGAGCCAGATGTGGACAGCTGCTGACAAGGCACTGGTGCAGCTACAGGCAGGAAGTAGGGTAGAGGAGCCACCAGATCCAAGCTGAGAGCTCCCTCCAAGGTTATTACCTGGAGGCCGTGGAGTGATACTTCTGGAAAACAAGACAGGTGGGTTAAGGCATGGGGGAGGCTCTTGGGACCCTGGGGACCTGGGCGTGGGTGACACTCCCTTGTCCACTCACCCGGATGAACTCATAGTGACTCTCATTACTGAACTGCTCGAGCACACGTTCAGCCTGGCCCAGCCGCTCCTGAGTGCCCTTGGCCTGCTCCAGCTGCATGTCCAGGGAGGCCACAAGGCCACGGGTATGACCCTCCAACCCCTCCAGGCAACGGGCCTTCTCCTCATCCACCAGGTGGTGCAGCTCCTGGAACTCGCGACGGATCACCCAGCTGAAGACGTCAGATTCATTCTGGGACGAGAAGGGGCTGGTCACGGCCAGAACCTCAGCCAGAACTGCCTGCTTCCAGCTGACCCCCGTGTCCTCAGGCCCAGGCAGCTTAGGCCTTCCTGGGCTTTTCCAATCTGAGCTGGTTCTAGTACTTGAGTTGCAGGCTGACTCGTGCGCTGTTCACACTGTGCCTGGGCACCCCCCGTGTGGCCACGGGGGACAGCAATACAGGCAGGGGACAGACTGGGCCCCAGCACCCATTTCAAACACAGTGGCTCTGCTTTCTTCGGTCCTATTAAACGTGCAAGTAAGATTTTGCTTCAGTATAGTGTTCCACAACTGGAAAAGGTCTGAAAGGCCCTGGGAGGGCAGACTTCAGAGAGCCAGATTCCCTGTGTAACCCTGAGTTCAGCCTCCCTGTCAGGCTGAGGAAGGTTAACCAAGAGGACCCTCAGGGGACATGGGTCTCCTGCTTCTGTTTCACAACTGCCTGCAGGGCCTAGGCTCCACATGCCTGCAGCCCCAGTGTGCCTGTCATTCAGGAAAAGCAGAAAGCCACCAAGGGCTTCAGGCGTTTCTACACTCTGCTCCAAGCTACTGGGCAGGCTCCACAGACTGTCAAGGTCAAGCAGACACAGCGAGTCAGGCGTTGCGGGGG